ATGTCTGGATCTGGTTTAGTAAAGTCTAGACCCCATTCAGGAAGATTTGTGAATGTCTGGATCTGGTTTAGTAAAGTCTAGACCCCATTCAGGAAGATCTAGACCCCATTTAGGAAGATCTATAACACACCCAGGAAGATCTATAACACATCTAGGAAGACCTATAACTCATGTAGGAAGATCTAGAACCCATGTAGGAAGACCTATAATCCATCCAGGAAGAATCTATAACTCATGTAGGAAGACCTATAACCCATTTAGAAAGATCTATAACACATCCAAGAAGATCTAGAACCTGTGTGAGAAGATCTAAAACCCATCCATGAATATCTAGAACCTGTGTGAGAAGATCTAAAACCCATCTAGGAAGGTCTGTAACCCATCCAGGAAGATCTAAAACCCATGTAAGAAGATCTAAAACCCACCTAGGAAGGCCTGTAACCCACCTAGCAGAGCCAAAAAAACTGGGTTATTGGCAATGTTGACTCTAGAAGGAAAGGAAAACAGTTCTAAATCACAATAAGGGGTTAGAGAGGGTGACCAAATAATCCTGGTTTATCCAGGACAGGGTGTTGTGGAGCTCAGAGCAGCCTCCCACCAAGACTGTGGTGTTCTCTTCCAGGCACATTCAAAACTCAGCTTCACAACATCCCGAAAAACTTCAGCCAATTTGGAACCTCCCTTGAGCTGTGAGTCACGACCAGACGATCTCAAAAGGTACTTTCCAAGTGAGATAATCCCATGATTAACTCCTGCCTCAGAAAGGAAGCGAAAATGGAAGCACCCACCTCGTATTTCATGGTGAAGAAGCCGTCGCCCCCGATCCCCTCCAGAGCGAAGGCCTGAACGATCGGCCACTTCTCCACGATGAACATGTCAAATATCTGCAGGTGACCTGCAAAGGACAGGGAGCACAGGGACATCCCCTCACAAATCCTGGCAGTTTAACTTTCTGGGAGGTCTCCCAGTTGGCCTGAATTCGCGGAGGATTCTCGATTAACCTGCCTTTGTACAACTGGGAATATTTAAGTGAAAAGTGGGTTTGATTCTGGAGTAAAACACTCTCACAGAGTAACAGAATGGTTTGGGTTGGAAGGGACATTAAAGATCAGTCCTACCCCCTACCATGGGCAGGGACACCTTCCACTACCCCCATCCAACCTGGCCTTGGACACTTCCAGGGATCCAGGGGCAGCCACAGCTTCTCTGCCCAACCTGTGCCAGGGCCTCATCAACTTCACAGCCAAGAATTTCTTCCATCATCCCCATTAAATTATAATTTTAAGTCAGGGGAGAGAAAAACTATTCATCCTGCACTCCTTGGAGCAGCTGTAAACCACGTGAAGTGTGACTGCTGCCCTTAAGCTCCACACCTTCTTCAGATCCTGCCTAACACAGAACCCCCGTCCTTCCCCCCTGCCCTGAACCATTAATGACCTTCCAGGCAGTCAGAGCTTATCACCCCTTCCTCAGAGGAAGCAATTGGGAATTAGGAATAAGAAAGGAATGTGAGATTACAGTGCTGAGGCTGCAAGGCTGGCTCCAGAGCCCAACAGGAAGCCGTGCTGGGCAGCTCTGTCAGCGCTAAAAAGGGAAACTTGCACAACGAAACGTTTATTCTTCCCTTAAATAAAGGAGGATTTCTCTGGAGCTTCCATGGGAACAGAGAACTTCTGTAGCAGCACAACACACTCCTCTGAATGCAAATCATTCCTCTGCCTCACACTGTGAGTGTTCCCTCCTCGGATCCAGTCCGGGGGCTTCCACTCCTCAGAAATGGAACTTGGCAGGAAAAAAAATCCACCTCTGAAGGAAAAAGAGGCTGAAAGGAACCTACTGACACACTTATAATGCTTATTTCTTCCCAAAGGCGAGGAAATCTCCATTCCCTGAACTTGGATGTGCAAAACACTTCAGCTCTGAGGATAAACCAACCCAACCTACCCTGGCAGCTGTAGGGAATCCCGATCCGGCTGCAGTCCCGCACCATGTCCACAAAGCTGGAGATCTTGAATTCCTCCGCGGCTTCTTCGTCTTCATACTGAAAGAAGCCATTTAAAAATCAAGCTGGATTAGGCAAGCCCTGATTTGTTTGGTAGGCAAGTGAATATGTAGCATGTAAACCACCGAAATATCACCTACAACTTCCAGGAGCTAAAGCACCTCTTTTACTCCCTGCATTAGAAATTCCAGCACGGCGGCGACGGCACCGAAGCCAACGGAAATCATCCTTTTGGAAAACAGTTCTTTTGAAAAAAAAAAAAAAACTTGAAAGTTTTTTAATACTGGTAGATGAAGGTATAATTATATCCTTTATTTTCAGCTCTCAGCAAAGACTTTCAGTATCATCTACTAGATTTAAAAAATTAAAGGTATTTTTAGAACGCCGACCCACGTGCCACAAAAAAAATGTGCCACAAAAAACATGGCCCTGAGGAAAAATGATCAGGACACAGAATAAGGAATAGCTGTGGGAGGGAGAGGTGGATTGTAGGAAAAGGAGAAGGAAAGGAGACACCACCATGCAGCACCATTTTGCTGTTTCATGACTGAAGTCACTGAAGACTTCAGCAGACTGAGGAACAAATGGTGTGGGTCAGAAAAACAAAAACTACACTGAAGAGACAAATCACACTAAAATCATGCTTATAACAGGAAAAAAATAAACCTGGAAACACACTGGTTTTTATCTGGAAAGGTAACAGTTCAGCAGCAAATCTGGAACCAACTCCTTCAAGAGTCACTTGTTTTCTGGAGCAAGATCAGAAGGCGGTGGTGGTTTGCCTATTTTATTTTATTTATATTTTTATTTTTATATACAGTGCTCTGAACTTCTTATCAAGGCAAATGACATGATTATGAACTTGTTGAGTACAGCTCCTGTGAGCTCCAGGGTACACCCAAGACATTTATTTTAAGAACAAGCTCTTTTAAGCCCAGCCTGAATTTAAGATGCAGCCCCAGTTCCCCCATGTTCCTCCTTCAATCCCAGGAAGTCAGATCAAAGTCCCAGCTCAAAGCCAAGCCCCAAACAACTGCCAGTTTCTCAAGGCTCAAAAACGCCATTGGAATAAAAACCTGGGAGTTTGGCAGGGTGCTAAAGGCTTGCTCCCAGTCTGCTCTTGCAGGAATAAATTCAGCCAGTTCCATGAAAGGTAAGGCCAAGACACCCCAAAATTTACTGCATCAAATTTCACCACTTTATCCTATTTGGTCGTTTTGAAAATGGGCATTTTTTAAATATATGAAGATTTTTTTTTCTCCCTTTAAGGATATTCCCCTAAATTCCTGTAGTCTAGTCAAAAGCAAGTAGGAAGAAAGGAAGGAGAGGCTGCAGGTTTTTCCAGAGCCAGGTAAAGCACTGCTTTATTTATTCCTAAAACCTTTGAGCTTTTTCGGTTCCGTGTTTTAAAAAGCAAGTAAAAGTTATTCCTATCATTGAAAAAAAAAAAAAAAAA